GGACGAGGAAGAAATTGCAAGTAAACAGACGCGGCAAACTGTTGATGCTTCGCCAAACTACGAGGTTAGTGTTGACGGTTTATCCGGTCTCATTTCCTTGATTTTTGAATTTGTGAAAAGTTAATTATCTGTGAAACATCGTCTCAACTACTTATCTTTCCTTTCACAGTACGAAGAAGAGATGGAGTCCATGCGAAAAAGGTTGAAGGACTCGCACAAAGAGGTAGACAATCTAAGAGAAGCGAACGCACGGCTAGAACGATTAATGGAGCAACAAAAAAAGACTAACGCTGTATGTTCTCAATTATGAGCCGAAAAATATTGTCAGTTACTGAAACCTCTTTTATTTTAGAACTCTCCAGCAATAATTCATGTTAATGGTGGTGACTGCGTTGGATTTGCTGATCCTGCAGAAGCTGAGGTATGTTAAGAAAGTTGTGTAGCAAGCTTTATCCGAAGCCATCTCTCAAAGTATTGTGCATTAATTCTTCAGTAATTGTCTTCAACATCATCTGAATTGTAAGATCCTGTCGATCGAGAGATCGATCCTGATAAGCTATCTTAATAATCGAGTTTTCATCTGAAGGTTCAAAAAAACTTTTGAAGGCGATACACTAAAAATTTTCCGAACAGCCTCATTTCATCTTTGAAATACTTGTGATTTATTTTATTTTCATTTCAGTATCTCAAGAATGTCCTCTATCGATATATGTATTCAAGGGAAAATCTTGGCAAAGAAGCTGTGGTGAGTAAATTGAATTTTCTTTTGTTTTTCAATTTTATTTTGGAATGATAGTTTGAAATTTTAGTCGTATCTTTTCACTTTATTTTGCTCGAAATTGCACATACCATGATTGCAGACTATATGAAGTCGAGAAAATTAGTATCAAGTGGAAAGTTTACGTCAAGTGTATAACTTCTTTATGTCGAGCGAATTTGTAACATGGTGTGCAGTTAATTATGTGCAAATTGAGTTTCATACTTTGTTTTGTAATCCTCAAAAAATTCTTTTTCGTTCTTTATGCCAAAGTAATTTTTGAATGTGTCTTATTAAGAACTCTTTTTTTTT